AAAAATATCTATAAGAACACCGGATTATATATCTTGCTGTTCTTTCTTTTTTATATATATATATATATATATATATATATATATATATATATATATATATATATATATATATATATATATATGCTTGTCAGTATTTGTTCCAAACAGAGAAATTATTAAATAGGAATACAACAAGCAGTGCAAAATGACAAGAAGTGAGAGGGTCCTATTTGTAATATTTCCTGAAAGGAAAATGTCTCGGCTAGTGGAATCTTCTATGTCTTTCGTGGTACCATGTGTCTCTTCTGCTGTTCTCTCTACCACTGTGGCCTTGTGATGTCTGTTTTTACTGTGGTCTACATAGCAACTGTCGTGGGCACATATCTTGCCTCTACATTTGCTAAATAGCAACTGAGATTCATGACATCATTCACAAGCTGTCAAGTGAGCTTCATGAATTCTTCTTACACAAAGGGAGGTAATCACCTTTTGCATCCCTGCAAAGGGTGCCTAAAATTTACTCTTACTTTTGCTCTCTGTCATAGGGAGTTGTAGCCAACCTGCTTGTTAGGAGTTTCAATAAAATATTTTTCATAATCTTTTTATCATTTCACATTTTTATCTTGAAAACTTTAGTACAACATATTTGTCAGTTAGTGAATGACAAGGGAGAAAAAAATTATTAGTGAGAGATTTCATTTTGAGAAGAAATTTTTTAAACTAATAAGTTATATTAACTGAATCAATCTTATATATAAAAAGGGTAAAAAAGCTTCTTTTTGTCAATGAGATAACTTTTTGGAGATGCCAATTAATGATGGCAAAATATAAAGATTTCATTTTTCTACATTTGCTGCATATACCTTTACCTACATCATTTTGTTAAGAAATTTAATCAAACACAAAATTTTGTAATGGCAATAGAAGTCATATGTTCATAATTTTGAATTTTGTCATTCTTTGACTGTGCTACAAGTAATACTCTTACTATTAAAGTAACTTTACTAGAACATATCTTTTAAATAACCTGTGCAATGGTGCTAAAGAGAATTTTGCTAAATGCTTAAAAAGTTTGCTTGTGTCAGAAAATATGATATACATAAAGTTAATAAATCTTATTGATGAAGTATTTATTTTGTGTGTGTGTGTGTGTGTATATATATATATATATATATATATATATATATATATATATGTAACACATTTCATTGACTACAACAGACAAGGTGCTTTTATTTAGTTTTTTATACAATTTCTCATGTGATCTAATAATTTTTTTCTTTTTGGATGATAAATTATATAAAAACTGTCCGAATGTTCTTTTTATCCAAGTGCTTTCGGCCATACATTTAGCCATTTTCAAGGATTAAATATTTTAACTGTTAAATAAGAAATAGTTTGCTGTATGTATGTTTTATAAAATGTTTTCATTTTTCAAAACACGTTCAAGACATTGTGTCCATGTTCAAAGTTAATATTTTTATCCTGTCTGTCCCAAAATGTGCTGTTTTCTAAAGCATCTGTTTGAATCACTATTACAATTTTATCCAATCATTTTTGGAATTGGTCTGTCATAGATCTAAGGGCATCTACAACAATAGGAACAATTTCTACTTTCTTAAGCCCCCACTAGATATCCTATCTCATGTTTCAATTCTTGATACCTTTCCTTCTATTTTTCTTTCTCAACTACACTTACATCCCCTGGTACTGCTGTATTGATGATCCAGTACTGTTGGTCTTCCTACTAGACAGTAATGATGCCTGGCCTTTCTTGTGTCAATTACATTATTACATTGCAAAATTAAAGTCCCAGAACAGCTTTACACTCTCATTTTCCACTACTGCAGGTGATTTATGCCCAAACCCCTTTTCCGCACTCTCCAGTTTTTATTTGCTATATATCATCCAGTATGTGAAGTATTGTTGCATTTTCATTTCTATAACATGCTGCATTCACTTACCTTTGTCTTCTTTCACACAGTTTCCATTTTCAACTGGACATGTGACAGCCAGTAAGTGATACGAGTTTGTGGGGGTGCCAAGTTGCTATTTAGCATGGAGAGTGACAAGACATGTATGCCCCACCAGCTGCTGATGACAGACTGCTAAAGTATTAGATGCCATCACATTCCCACAGCTGTCAGGAGAACAGAAGAGCCTACATGGTACATTGAAGTTCATAGAACATACCACCAATTTGCCTGTTTTCCTTTTCTGGAAATACTACAAGTAAGACCCTCTTGCTTTTTACCTTTCCACACTGCTTGTTTTATTCATATGTTATAATTTCTGTGTGGGACAAATTAGTAACAAGTATTTATAGCAGCTTTTGCAGAATACTTGCACTGTCAAGCAACACAGACTTCTGAAGTGATTGAATAATAAGCTTTATTCTGATATTGTTCAATTGTATAGAGACAAATACTACTAACTTTATCATCATTAATAATTACTACTACCATCGCTACTACTACAACTATTGAAAACATATCTGCCTTTTGTTGAAATATATTTTGTAAAGTAATTTATTAGAATTTAATTTGAGAACCACTACTACAATGTTTTACAAGTTCACATTCTAGCTGCTTTTCTGATCCCCCTCCCACCACCACCAACCTCACTCCTGCTTTCAAAACCGGCTCCCAAAGTCTTGATCTTTATCAAAGATAAGGATATATTTTCTGACAAATGAGAGGACAGGGAAAGTGTATAAGCAATTTTGAAGGGAATGTTTCTGAGCCTTTTTAATCTCGATAAATACTGAAAGCATGTGCCTCTTTGACAGTGAGTATTTGACATCGGGCACCTCGAAGCAGTGTAATGGTTAGCAAGCTGGGTGCCCCATACTTTCGGCCTTGTGCCAAATCTAAGCTACGCTTGGAAAATCATACTGCATTATTTATCATTTTTCAGTTGTGTCTCTGTCCTTGGACAGAGTGTGCTCATGGGCTTCTCTGTCAAAGGACAGAGGGGCAACTGAGAAAATTATACTGAAGAGGTGCCCAGCCCTGGGGAACAGCTGCCCATGGCCACATCCTCCCATTGCACAAGAGGGAGGGATCAGTGCTTGCACCAAGGCCAGCGCAACTGACGGTTGCAGGGGCTGAGGGTAATTTTTGTCCCTTCCCGGGTGTACGCGCTTGGGTCCCCACATTAATCCGACCATGTGTCACATCTCATTCTCATAGAGGAATGAGTAAACACCGTGAGTATTTGACATTGTCTGTGATAACATTAGGTCAGTGACAGTATGGTCGGTTGGCTGGCTGGCTGGTGGGGTTTGTGCCGGTATTAAAAGGTGGTATTTCTGTGGACCACAATAATAAACGTGAAGACTTGGTTGAAGATTTAAGATTTAATTTTTATTAACGGACGTGTGTATATATAATTCGGAGATCAGAGAGTGGTCGATCTGAGGTCAACATGATGTTGAGAGAGGTTAGTCGCAGTCTCTACCGTGTTTGGGCCGTTGCTTTACGTGTCTGAACTTGATGAAATCGACGTACCAAAAAACAACTCTTCTCCTTTCCGGAAGTGGAGTCACAAAATTTTTTATGTGACCAAAATCTTTTTATTATGGAAAAATGAAAATCTTTATTATTATTATTTTATTTATTATTTTAATTTTCATTCTCCCACAACAGCCACACTAGTCATCTTGAGAACCTGTTTCAAGGAAGAAATCTACACGCTGGGCTCTAAAGACAGAACGTCGGCCCTAAAACTACTCGAAATTTGCTTCCTAGGTCCTTGAAATTCCTGTCGTCCACTTACAAATTTACTCAGCAATAAACTAAGAATCTTCCAATTGTTTCCCTCTCAACGAGAACTCTGAAGAAATCTTAATGTTAACCCCTTAAGAACAATTTACTCGCTTAACGAACTTTTAGGAACTCAGAGAAATATTTTGCGCAAGCCTTTATGAACACTTTTTCTACCTTTAAAGGACTTTATCTCTTTCTTTCTCTCATAATTTGTGTATATCCTTTTACATATTTTTTGTGTTTGTAAATAAACATTTTCTTCTATTGTTACCGCCCCGAACAGGAATTTGAGTTTTTCTTTATCCTTCATCCTAAAAGAGAGAATTGTTCGCTAAAGTAAACTTTGAAACCGTTGTTGCTTTTATCGATTCTGTCACCTTTATGAACCTTAACCTTTTCCACAGCTGGGACAAATTTCCCACAAGTTTGAGTTTAATAAAAGATTTTTGGCAAGAAGGTTTTTTTACTGATTGATCCCGCCGAGGATAATTCTTTTGAAACTAAGGTTTGCAATTCTGTCGTGTAGAGAGAAAGTGTATGGTGGAGTTCAACTGGATTCAACAATTCATGTTTGTCATTTTCAGATAATTTTTCTTTCTTTTAAAAATCGTTCGGATCATGTATGTTGATTTTTTTTTTACTTATATTATTCAAACAATTAAGTTTTCTATAAGGATGCGTTATTTTTTAATTTATATTCTTTATTATAATATTTTTTTCTAGAAAAAGATGCTGGAAAATAAATTTATTTAACTATTGTTTTATAATTTCAATTTTAAATAATGTTTCAGAATTTACAAATATAAAAAATAAATATAAATAAATACGTGCATAAAAATGTTAGTCAAATAAAATAAAAATTATTACCGAATTTTTCATCAACAAAAATAAAAATTAAAAAAGTCATTAATTAATTTTATTATTTAATTTTTCTGTCATTCAAACACTGAAGTTATTTTTATTATTGTTTATTGCGGTGAAGGAAATCAACAATTTTTAGAACTTTACTTTTAAAGAGAAAAAAAAATAAAAATAATTAATTTTCTAATATTAATAAATAATAAAATTAAAAATACATATCTAATTTATTTAAGGAGGCGAAAAATAATTAAATTGAAATTTGAATTTTTAAAAGTACACAAAGAAAAATCAAATCGTGAAATGTACTTGAATATATTTTCGACTTGATCAGTTACTTTTTAATTCATTTACTCCGAAGATAGAAATATTTTTTTTAAAAAGTAAAATAAATACCTTCAAGGGGATCTGGCTGAGGAAAATATTTATGACATGTTCTTGAAGTGTGTAGAAATTTTCTTGAAACAATATTTGTATTATTATTTTTGCCGGTGTCGTTATTTTGAAAAAAAGCCGAACATAATTCTTTCTTTTTGCATCGAAAAATCCATTGCAACCAGATCCGTCCACACAGATTCATATGACCAAGGGTTAACATAGTTTATTGTTATAAGAAACTTAACTCGAAAAAGATGATTCCGTTTATTTTATCATTTTTAATTTTGTTGGTACTGCAAATCTGGATTCGACTTAACGTCTCCATGATTATGTGTTGTACACACGTTTCGAAGTTAAGAACATAAGAGTTACGTCCCTTGTTCTTTTTATTTCTTTTTAAAAAACTACCAACACCTTTCAGGACGCAAGTGATCAAGGCTTCCCAAAGATTCCTTCAACTTTGTTTTTTTTTTTTTTTTTCTTCTTCTTATTATTATTATTATGAATTGGTGGAATGGTTTCCTGTTGCTTTCTCCACGGTTTTGGAATTGTCATTTTGATTTGGTTAAAAACTTCCAGTCTACTCGGCTGGGGAGGGAATATAAAATTTCATCTTTCCTAAGGACTAGGACAGAATTTGAACTCGGCTCGTCAATAACGTTTATATTCGACCCGCATATCCTATATCCCTTAACAGAAAAAGTTACCTCTAATTAAACAAATAGAAATGATATCATGGTTTGAAGTTAAAAAAAATATCTGTCTATATTTCCGAGATGAGATATTGTAAATTATTTACACTATTTACATTGTTCAGATTGTTGCCATATTCACGACGTTTCGGCCATTGCATGCTCCGGCCTTCTCCAGGTGATCGGAATTTTGAACTGAACACTTTATTTCGTCCATTGGGGTAGATCGTTCAAGTTCCACATGCCATACCTCGTCCGGATGTCTCAGTTATCTCCCTTTAACTCAACTCTCCACGTTTTTGTTCACCACAGCATTAGCCAAGTACTGAACTCATAATTCTTTGGGTCAAGTCACTGGATCCAACCAATGCTTTTATCCACATGACCCAATGAATAAAATTACACAATCATCTTCACTAGAGCCAAGTAGTTGTCTTCAGTATTTACCAAAGACTCCCCACTGAGTCAGGATGTGACACAAGGTCAGTTATTTAATGTGGGGAATCTGAGTGCAAATACTTGGGCCATTGGTGAAAATGTACCCAATCCCCAATATGTGGGACCAGGTACAAAGCTTGTCTTAGCTAGTCAATATCATGGAACAGATACTACAACTTGGTCATAGTCTCTGGACCATTTGTCTTCTAGTGCTTCAATTCAGTGTGCTGATTTTATGATGTGAGATTGTTACAACCCTTGTGGTTATGAATGAAATTTGGAAAAAAATAATCATAGGTTATGAAATATAATGTAACTGGACATATCAAAACTAATAACAGGAAAGAAATAGTATTTATTTTGAATAACAATTGTAAAATATCTTAAAATGATACACAGAATTAATAATCTTGAACAAACTGTTCAAGGTCACATTAAAGGAGCCCATTTGCTGGAATAGAATAAGAACAGTGTAGCATGTCGCTAAAATGAGATACATGCATAAATAAAAAATAAAAATCATCCTTGATAATGGCTAAAAAAAAAATAGCCAAAAGTGCTTGGATATGCAGAAATTTTGGACAGTTCTTACATACTGTGTTCAGAAAATAAAACATTTGTACAAATAAAAGAAAAATTAAATAAAAAGCTTAATTGGAGGACCTTGTCGGTTGTCTTTAATGAAACTTCCATATTAAACAATTGCAGACAAAATAAAAACCTCTTTTCATCGAAAATTATTAAAATAAGATATCCCAGCTGAGTGGACTCTTCTTTTATGTGCTGTGACCCTTCAGGGCATAGGTGATCATGGATCTCCACAATTTCCTGTCCTTTGTAGCTCATAATAAATTTTGTCTTTTTATCTCTCTTAAAACTTGCTTCACCATTCATTTACTGTAGCTCGCTAGGTAGGTTATACATTGTTTTCCTCTGTCCCTCTTGCCTTCAATGTGCCCTGTATCAGATTTTTCAAGCCCTCTTTCCTCATTATGTACCTCAGAAATTTCAAGTCTCTTCCTGGTGTTGTGTATATTTTTTTTTTTGTTTCCATTAAAAGTTTGTCTTTGCTAACATGTTCAGTCCATAGTATTCTCAGCATCTTTCTGTAGAACCATATATTTGTTGCTTCAAGTCTCTTCTTCTTCTGTGAGATTGTTCAGCATTCACTGCCAAACTGAGTTGATACCAATTTGAAATAAAATTTAATCAATTTATAATTCATGGAGAAAGATAAAATTTACAGAATTTAAGACATCAAATTATTCATTTGCAATGTTTCACTTTATAGACATTTAGAATTATTATTATTATAATTACTATTACAATTATTACTGTTATTACAATTATAATAGTTATAAATTTTATACTCTTCAATTAATACACTTTCAAACAGAATTTGTTAAATGTGTAGATCCATGTGTCAACTCTGAGGTTGTTTGTAAAATAATGTCTGATTTTAAAATAAACCTTTTGTGTTCTAATATATTATTATAATAGTTGCACAAAAATATATTACTTGTTCGTAATGAGTAGCCTCTTTGTTAATTTTATATCAATCTCTTTCAGAAGTTAACTTAAAACATTATATACCCTTCTCTTTGAACATGTAAAAGGAAAAAGATGTTTACTTAATTTTGTATTAGTTGTAATACTTCTCAAACTGCTGTTAATATCAAGAGAGTATAGGGTGAAGGATCCACTTGTGATTGGACAGTACAGCACTGGTTTATGAAGTTCCACAGAGGGGATACAAGTCTTGAAGATCAAGGTGGTAGAGGATGTCCATCTACAATTAGCAATCAGCATCTGAAAACACTAGTCAAACAAAAGCCACATCAAAGTAGGAGAGAAATGTCTCAGATAATGGGTGTCAGCAATTCAACAATATCGGACCATCTCAATAAATTTGGCAAGGGGAAGAAACTTGATTAAATGGGTTCCACATGAACTCAGTGAAAGTCAGATTTCAATGTTTTGAAGTGTGTTCAATGCTGCATCTGCCAAATTTGAATCATTTCTTGATCGAATAGTAACTTCTGATGAGAAATAGATCCTTTATGACAACAGTAAACAACTGACTCAATGACTTAATCTTGCTGAAGGACCCAAACATTTTCCAAAACTGAAAATTGCATCAACAGAAGATTATGGTAACTGTCTGATGGTGTTATCCATTTACAGCTTTCTGGAATCTAACCAGAGTATTACTGCTAAAGTTTATTGCCAGCATCTGGATGAAATGTATATTCAGTTAAGCAAAATGTGACTGGCACTGATTAATCAACAAGGTCCAATTCTGCTTCATGACAATGTTCAGTCACATATTGCCTGGATGAAATTGCAGAAGCTCGCCAACTTGGGACCATCCTGGGTATGACGATAAACTACATCCACATCCTGGATAAGACAAATTACATCCAACATCAAGGCCTTTGATCAGATTTTGAGGAGCATGGAACCACCTCTTAATTGCTGGTGTTCCCAGTTCCATCCTGATCTGGGATGATAGCACCTGTTGGGGCCTCAGCTATGGGCAAATAGTTACCCCCCCCCAAAAAAAAAAGGGGTCAAAACACTATGAAAGGATAAAAATAGGTTTTAATACATTTGAGAAAAAAAAAAAAAAATCTTGTCGGCATTAAATAATCCATTGAGGTGTTGATATGCCATAAAACAAACCAAACTATGTGGAAATAGGAATCAATATTTCATCTTAGAGGAATAAAGGATTTGGTTAGTGAATTTTGTGGCATTTTAATTGTATTTTGGGTAATACAGGCTTAGTGAAAACTGGTTGAGCAATAAGTACTACTAAATAAGATTAAAAAAAAATCAAGATATCCCTAAACATGGACAGGCAGTAAAATACAACAGACAAGGTCCAATTCTGCTTCATGACAATGTTCAGCCACATGTTGCCCAGATGAAACTGCAGAATCTCACTAACTTGGGATAAAGAGATTTTGCCACAATCCCAGCTGTGAAATGAAGCAGCTTGAAGGAAGGAAGGAAGTTTGTATAAATTTCATGTGTTAATCTTCCAATACAAGGTTTGTGGTTATATTACTTTGAAACACTTGTTTGGTTGTCATACAATCACCAAAGTTAAACAATGTCAAGCCTGGCCAGTGCATTAGCTGGGTGACCAAAAGGGAATGCCAGGTATTGTAAACTTGGATGCATGATGGATAATGGCTAAGAATTGGAAATCAGTGGCAGGTTACAATCCCAGGCAAGTTAGTTATATTTACTTACATACAAATACCATTGGGAAAGGTATGATCCACCTTTTCACCGCCCAGCTATGAGCTAATTAGTATCTCCAAAACTTTTTTTTATAGGAGTGAAGATAGTTAAAATAAAAGTGGCATCACAGGAAAAACCATCCTTTTGATATTTTTATTTTTGGTAGGCACAAAGATCCAAGTTTACCTTTGTTTCTAAATCTATGAACAGCTTATATAAAATAATAGTTTAATCTTTCAGACAAACTTAACCACTTATAAGGCGGATGTTGGGTTAAAGAGAAAAAAAAAATGTTGATTACTGGATGTAAGCTGCATCTGAAAATGGAGAACTCACCAACTAAAAAAAATTGATTTCAATTTAAGATGTCTTTCTTAAATAATCTCATTAAAATAAACACATCAGACTTAACCTATTCAAGTCTCAGGTTAATTATCTTCCCCACATATCCCAATAAACTGTGCCTCTTACTCTATAACCCCCTACTTTGAGTGGCTCTTGAACCTGGTACAGAGCAAAAAAAATTGAACAGGCACACACATTAGGAATTAAAACAAGTAAGATGAAGTTTTAAATATTTTAATATTAAGAATAAAGTCACAGAAAATTCAAGAATGAAAAAAAATATTTAGGTTTCAGAAGCAGTGTTTGTGTTGCCATTTTGTTTTTTTGAGTCATCAAAGTCTCGTTGATGAAGCTGCAAAAGAAAAAAATAATTTTATCTTAAAAAAAAACAAAAAAAACATGGATATAAACAAATTGAGAATTACATACTTGTGGAAAAAAACCAAAAAAAAAAAAAAAAAAAAACAAAGTTAATTTTTTTTTTTTTAACAGTTTTTAATCTGATATTATTTCTTATTAATATAAGTTATTTTTAGTGGGGACACGGGTTTGAGTTGCTATCTCTTGTCTTTATTTTTCTTAAACAGTGAAATTAAATATCAACAGGTCTAGATTGAGAAGTCCTACTAAAAGTGGTAC